GTCGAGAAGCGGTATCGGGCCGCGGGTGAGCCGTCGGGGCGCTCGCCCCATTGCCCGCCGAGTCGCTCCGATCCGGGAAGGGGTCCCGGACCCGGACCTTTGGTGGCCCGCAGCCCATGTCCTGCGCTCACCGTGGGAAGTCGAGCGAGGGCCACTCCCGCCTGCAGCCTTGGACCCCGCCATCCCCAGTTCTGTCCCTCGGCACCCTGGATGCCGGCCAGGACCAAGTCCGGTCCTTCCAGTTGTCTAGCGGGTCCCCAGGGGACGGGACATTCGGGGTGCCAGCGTGTCCCCGGGGCCCTTCCCGCGTAGACCCCAGCCCGGAGCCAGGGGAGGCCAGGCTGGGACAGGACCCTTCTGCCTGCCACCGGCGCCCCTCCCCCAGGTCCCCTCCCCCAGCTCTGTGGCTTTGCACCATTGTGGGTCAATATTTGTTGAGTTGAGTGAGGTTTTTTGACAGCTGCGATGGAACCCGAGGAAGGCCTCATTGTCTTTCCATTTTGGTTCGTTTCCTGCTCTGTAACAGAAGCACATGAGTGGCCCTGCTTGGTTCTGAAACTCTAGGAAGCATAGTGTTGGCCTCCCTCAAATGCTGTCCTGATTTTTGTAGTACTGAGCGCTCCCCCCCGCCTTTCCAGGAAGCCTCCTCCCATGAATGAAATGCAAGGCCCACATGGACCCACACGCACCTGTGCCTGCCAGGTGCACTGAGTGCTTGTGGCGGGTTTGTGGTCGCCCACATTAGTCCCACTTCCCTGCCAGCTGGAGGATTCCCACACCACCCAGCCAAGGACCCCCTGAAGTCTGTGCCCAAATCCCCGCAGGTCCCAGGCTGTGCCTGCCCCAGCCATAGGCCCCCAATCTCTGCCCTGGCTCTCCACGTGGCTGGGACTTTGTGGGTGGGGAATTTAGGTCACAGAGCAGCAGGAGGAAGGTGGCAGGGAGGTAGGTGCCAGCTGGGGAAGCTGGGTGTCAGCGGGAAGGAACTGAGGCTCAGACAGGCAGGGCCTGGGTGTCTGGAGCGTTCCCCTATCCCCTCCCCGTCCCGTCTGTTGCTGATGTCTGCAGACTGTGCCCCCTTGTGTCCAAGGTCATCCTCCCTGTGCTGAGGCTGCAGGTTTAAAAGGGATTTAGGGGAAGGGTGCCCTGGAAGAGCCCCTCCTCCTCCACTGGCTCTTCCAGTAACGGGGCCTCCCCGGCCCTCACCCTCTTTTCCCTGATACAAGGACCCTTGGGCCACACCTGCCCCACATCACCAAAGCCCGTGACCCCCAGGAAACAGAGGAGGAAACTCCGAGAAGGCAGTGCTGGAGGGGACAGGGCCTCCTGGGCGGTTTCTCTTCTGACCTTGGGCCCCCAGGGGACGGAAGGGTGGGAGTAACCCAGGTTCTGCCCTTTGGTCCAGAAGTGGCTTCCAAATCTCCCTGCAATTAATAGTCTGGGGAGCTGGCAGGAGGCTGCCCAAGGTCTCTGGAGCTCAAAGGTGACCGCACGACTCAGCCCCCACCCTGGCCTCTGTAGTGCTCACCGTTGAATGTGGGGGGGTCGAGCCCCATACACGGTGAGTGCTTAATCAGGATGGGGGCTGAGCTCCTGCTCCCCATCTGCTTTTTCTGAGCCTACATTGCCCAGTATGTTTTAGTGGCCAGATTCCAACACATGGGATAGGTTCTGTAACTCACAGCAACCCCAGCATGCAGGAAACATTTACAGATGGGGAAACAGGCTTTGTGCAAGAAGAGCCTTGCTCAGTTCGGCAGTGGGCAAGAGCAAGTGGCCCTCCTAGCTCTAGGGGACCCGGATGCTGGGCTTTGCTGCCTCTCTTTAAAACAGGCTCTCAAAGTGGGCAACACTATACTACACTACCGTATTTGATGATGTTTGGGGACTTTTTTCCCCAGTACTGGGAAATGCACGCAGGTCCTTTGCACTGAGCTACACTGCCAGCCCTCCCCCGCTTTTTTTTTTGTACCAGGGATCGTACTTGGGCCAAGGCAGGTGGTGGAACCACTGAGCTAAATCCCTGGCCCTTATTTCCTATATTTTGAGAAAGGTTCTCGCTAAGTTGCCCAGTCTGGGTTTGAATTTGAGATCTTCCTGCCTCAGCCTCCCAGAGTGCTGGGATGACAGGTGTGTTGTCACCGCACCCAGCTGTCTGAGACACTTGTGGTTGTCACAACTGAGGGTGCTCCTGGCCTGCACAGAGTGAGTAGAAGTCAGGGACACTGCAGTGCCCAGGACTCCTCCCAATAAGATGAATTGGCCTCAAATGTTAGCAGTGCTAAGGGGAGACACCCTGAGGATAGATACCAAATAAATATTCTGTTGTCTTCTCCAGCTCACCAGGAATCAAATCTTAGTGACTCATAGCCTCATTTTTGCATTTTCTCTCCATCATTTAGATTCAAACACTGGCCTCTTGTTTTGAGGTACCCCCCCATAGGTCCTGGAACAAGATTCATAATTTCAGATTATCACTTATTCATTCAACAGATGTTTATGATGTAGCTCCTTTGAACGCACCCTACCTCTGAACCCTGGCCCCGAGCCAAGGTCCTCGCCTGCCCTGGAGGAGCTCACAGCCCCATGTGGGAGACCAGTGCCTGGGCGTCATCAAGGCTCCAGGAAGGAGGTGAAGGTTGCAGACTGCATCACAAGGGTGCCCAGGCACCCACCAGAGCCCCTTTCTCCTGCAGGAGCCGTCACTCTGCTAAGCCTGTATCTTCTCTTCGGCTACGGGGCCTCTCTACTCTGCAATCTTATCGGATTTGTGTACCCTGCATATGCTTCGTGAGTGCCCCGCCCAGCTGCCCCTTCAGGGTCTCCCAGGCCCTGGCCCAGACCCTGAACCCACTGTGCTCCCCCCTGCAGAATCAAAGCTATCGAGAGCCCAAGCAAAGAAGACGACACTGTGTGGCTGACCTACTGGGTGGTGTACGCCCTGTTCGGGCTGGCAGAGTTCTTCAGCGATCTTCTCCTGTTCTGGTTCCCTTTTTACTACGCGGGCAAGGTGAGGAGGGAATGGGGGACCCGGCGGCAGCTGGTCACCCACTGTGGGGACTGGGGGGGCACCGGGAGGCCGGGCAGTGATGGGTGCCATGTAACCCGAGCTGCCCCACAGTGCGCCTTCCTGTTGTTCTGCATGAGCCCCGGGCCCTGGAACGGGGCGCTGCTGCTGTACCAGCGTCTCGTGCGCCCGCTCTTCCTCAAGCACCACGCGGCCGTGGACAGCGCCGTGAGCCACCTCAGCGGCCAGGTCCTGGACGTGGCGGCCGGAATAACCAGAGACGGTGCGTGCTGGAGGGGCCCAGCTGTCTGTCCATCTCCCGGGACTCGGCTCTGGCTCAGTCTGTCTGTGGGCCTCGGCCTGTCCGTCTGTCCCTGACGCCCCTCCTGACTGTGACTTCCCTCCGGCACTGGCCGCCCTCAGTGTCCCTCCTCATTGTCATCTCTCTCCCCCATGCTCTCGGGACCCAGTCCTACGGGCCCTGGCTCGCGGCCGGGCTCTCGTCACCCCCGCAGTGGTGGGGGAAGCCCCCACAGCCCTGGAGGGCGACTGTATGTAACTCGGACGCCTGGGAGGTTGGGTCTGGGTGCAGACGTGTGTGTGAGCCTGAGTGTGAGTACTGAGGCACGTGGGTGGGTGTGCATGCTCCCCATGTGCTTGTGTGCTGACTGTACGTGTGTGTGTTGTATGTGTGACTGCATGTGCGCACACTGGAGTGTATGCGTGTGTGTGAATGTGCGTGTGCGAGCTTACCTGTGCACACGTGTGTGATGTGTGTGTCTGTGTGTACATGGGAGCAGTGTGTGCCTGAGTGCCATGGGTGCCCCGTGGGTGTCCGTGTGGGTGGGTGTGCACGTGTTGGTATGCGGGTGCACACGTGTGTGTGTATTCATGTGCACAATGGCCCCGCCATGGGTGGCCCCTCGCCCCTCCTGCTGACCCACACCTGGCACCGGTGGCCTGAATTCCAGTCCCCAGCTGCTCGGGGGTCCCAGAGCCTTCCAGCACCCACCCCCTCACCCCCTCACCGCCCTCTCTCCACAGCACCGCCAAGCCCGAGCCCTCCGCAGAAGGGCAAGTGAAGCTGCCGTCCCGCTCTGGCACGGACATCCCAGCTGGCGAGAAGGGCCGCGCGGTGGGCCCCCAGCTGTCCACGGAGGCCCCAGCCAAGTCCCTGATGTCAGAAGCCCAGCCCAGCTGCTCCAGCCTGGGCAAGCCCCCTGCCCGTGGCGCCTTAGGCCACCCCCAGTCTCTGGCCAGGCCAGGCTCAGGGTCACGGATCCAGCTGGCCTCTCGCTCTGCCACTGGCTCCCAGCTGCCCAAGAAAGCCCAGGGCTCAGCTCAGGGGCCAAGCAACCATTCCAGCCAGGCCCCCAAACGCCCTGCGCTCTCTGACCCTCCTTCAGGGCCCTCACCCCCGGTCTCCTCCAACAGGGAGCCTGCTCCCAATGCCTCTCCCAGCGGTGCTCCCAGCCCTACTCAACCCCCAAGCGAGCCCCAAGACCAGGCCTCCGAGACCAGCAAACAGCCCCAGGAGGAGGGACCCACTCAGCCGGCCGTCAGCGCCGCAGGGCCTGAGCTGAGCAGCCCCAGCCTTTCAGAGTCCTCCCTGGACTCCACTTCCGAGTCCACCACAGAGCTCACCTGCTGCTGGCCGTGCTACAGACCCCAGCTTTGGTGCCCGAGGCACTGCTGGCTGCTGGAGCACTTGGCCTACTAGGGCCCTCATCCTCTGGCCCACCAGGCCCGCTGAAACATGGGGCCTGTTGGGTGTGCAATAAAGGAACTGCCCAGACCTGGCCATCATCTGTGCTGGGGGTGGGTATGGACTGCAAGTGTGAAAACTGGTGGTGCAGGCTGGCTCCATTCTACAGAGCAGGAACCTGAGGCCCAGGGAGGCAGATTCGCCCTCTCTGGATCTCCCAGGGATCCCACACAAAGGCAAACCAAGAAATCTCTGTCCTTTTCCAAGTAAGTAGCTTTTGCCCTCCTCTCCTGGACCTGTGGTCAGACGCATTCTGTGAACCTTTTTTTACTGAGCTACACCTCAGCCCTTGTTTTTATTTTTAAATTTTGAAATAGGGTCTCACTACATTGCTCAGGCTGGACTCAAACACGCAATCCTCCTGCCTCAGCCTTCCAGAGTGCTGGGGTGACAGGTGTGTATCGTCACACTTGGCTTGAACCACCTTCTTTTAAAAACTCTTCCAGGGCCAGGGATTTAGATCGGTGGTTCTGCCGCCTGCCTCGCAAGAGTTCTTTCCCCCATACCAAAAGAAAAAAAAAACTCTTCCAGAGAAGGGAAACGGGGTCGCTGACATACAGAAAGAATTGGAGCACTAGTGGTTGAATTGGAAGGGGCCCCAGAAAACCCCAGCAAGGTATTGGGATTTGAAGTGGGAAGGGCACCGGAGGGGTTGTGACCAAGCCATGGGCTTCTCCCAGCTGTCGGTCAGGGGCGAGGCCTCGGGTGGGTGGGGCTTAATTCTGACCGCGCCCCCGATGGCTGTGCCGGGTCCGAAGCGGGACAGGCCTGCAGTGGCAAGTTCCCCCCGCGTTCCTGGAAATTGCAACGCTGTCAGCGGTCACTGTGATTTTGTTTTTGTGTCGTTTTGAGCCTAGCATGACGCTGATTACAAAAACTGGCAAAGGCAACAAGAAAGAAAGGTGAGAAGCCTATTTCATGGATGTAGATGCAACAAATCTAAGCACAGGGCCTCAGCACGGGGATTTAGCTCAGTGGCACCACACCTGCCTTGCAAGCTCAAAGTTCTGAGTTCGATCCCCGGTAAAAAAAATAAAATAAATCTAAACACAAAAGAACAAATCAAATCAAATCTAATAGTATATTTAAAAACAGAGCGCCCATTCTGTCCAGGCCAGGTTGGGCGCGGTGGGGTGCTGCTGTGTGTCTGTGTGTGGTACTGGGAATTAAACCAAGAGCCTTTGCACGAGCTACACCGGACCCTTTTTGTTTTGTTTTGTTTTCTGAGAAAAGGTCTTGCTGTGTAGTTCAGGCTACTGCCTTTAAACTCATTATGTAGCCCAGGCTTGCCTTAAACTCTCAGCGGTCCTCCTAAGTGCTAGGATGACAGGCATGTGCCACCACACCCTGCCACCTCAGCCCTTTTTAGGGCTAGGGATTTAGCTCAGTGGTTCCACCACCTGCCTCCCAAGCACAAGGTCCTGAGTTCGATCCCCAGTAGTATATATATATATTTTTTTTTTTTGAGACAGGGTCTTGCTAAAGCACTCAAGCTGCCCTCAAACTTGAGTTACTCCTGCTTCAGTCTCCCCCGCCCCACCCAGCAGCTAGGATTAAAGGCCTGGTTTTAGCACCCAGATGGGGAGGTGCAGGTTGAGATGATAAATATAACAGGTCAGAGGTAGATAAATAGCACTGAGGAATGTGCAGGGGAGAAGAAAGCCTGCTAGGAGATGGGGTCTGGGTCTGCAGTCAGTCAGGGACTGACAGTTCAAAGGCCCTGAGGCAGGACAGAGTCTGGTGAATTGGGAGAGCACTAGGCAGCTCTTGTGGCTGGGGCAGAGGGACTATGGGTAGACGGAGGTAGAGAGCCCTGGGAGTGGACCTGTGAGTGCTTATACAACATGGGGAGGACTTTGGATTTACCCAGGAAGTGGGCTTTATCAGAGGAAGTGAACAACTTGAGAGTAAGCATTAATGAGCGTCCCCACCCCGTGGTCCTTGGATTCTGCAGCTGTGTTGCTCACCTGTCCAGCAGGCCTGAAGAATGAGGTTCCCACCTTGGCCCAGGGAGGGGATGGGGCAGTCTTGCTCTGCACCCCTCACCTTTGCTCTAAGGGTGGCACACATCTGTGAGTCCAGCTGCTCAAGAGGCTGAGGCAGGAGGACACACCTTCGAGGCCAGTGTGGGCATCGTATAGATCCTCTCTCAAAATAAAAAATGGCTTTGGGTAGAGCTCAGGGGTGAGTGTTTGCCAAGCATGCATGAGGCCCTGGTTCCATCCCCAGCACACACCCCTATGTAAATGGGCTCCGGCTTGACCCCAGGTGAACCCAGAGAGCACCAGTGTGTAGGAGCCCTCTGGCCTCTTACCAGGCAGAGATATGGCCATTTGTTTTGTTTTGTTTTTTGAGACAGGGTCTCACTATGTAGTTGAGACTGACCTGGAACTCACTGTGTAGCCCAGGCTGGTCTCGAACTCCCAGCGATCCTCCTGCCTCAGCCTCCCGAGTGCTGGGATTACAGGCGTGCACCACCATGCCCAGTGGCCTTGTTTTTCTTTTTGGTGTAGTACTTGGAATTGAACCCACGGCCTTCACATTGAGCTCCTTCCCCAGGCCCCCTGCTTTTGAAACAGTTCCTCACTAGATTCACCACCAGGTTGGGCTCCAATTTGAGACCCTCGTCTCAGCCTCCCAGAACCCTGGGTTGACAGCTGTGCACCACCATGACTGGGTCCAAACTTTTTCCCAGCACACATGCTAGCCTTAGCACCCTCTCTCTCTCTGAGTGAGTGGCCTGCTGCCCTGCCCATAACCTGCAGCCATGAAGCTGAGTCTGCGGCCAGGCAGAAGATCCTTGGGCACAGAGCCTCCCCAGACCAGCAGCCTGGGGCTTAGGTGACGATCACGGTCTAGGGTCAGCCCCATGCAGGGGCTGTCTACATGTGCTGCCTTTAGGAAATTAATAGTAATAATAAAAGTTTCCAAATGTTAATATGCTTGTCATTGTCACCAGCAGCTGGAATTTGGCAATACTGCTAATAAAATATTTTTCCCTCGGTCAAGCATGTTGGCACACACCTGCCATCCCAGCTTCTTGGGAGCCTGAGGCAGGAGGATCCCAAGTTGGATCCTAACTTGGGCAACACAGTGACTTAGTGAGACCTTGTCAGAAAATAAAAAGGCTGGGATGCTGTTCAGTGGTGAGCACTTGCCTAGCATGTGGGCGGCCCAGAGTTCCATCCCCAGCAGAAGAAAGAAAAGGAGGGGGGGAGAAGGAGGAGGAAGAAGAGGAGGAGAAAGAAGAAGAAGAAGAAGACCAATTCTAAGAACAATAATGTTTTTACCAATGTTACCTGAGCGGTTTGAGGACTGTGCAGTTTGAAAGTGAAGTTGAGCGGTCCCTGTCTGTGTGGCCAGGTGACATCTATCTCTGCACTCCTGGCACGCGGATGGCTTTGCCGCGGGTCCCACGGCCCATTCCTTCGTGGGCAATGGACCACCATGCAGGGGCCAAGCCAGACCATGCCCAGCACAAGACCTTCCAAGTGTCACGTGGAGTCCCCTGGGCAGGTGTCACATCCCCTGCAGCCGAAGCAGCCCAGAGGGACCAGGAGGGGAGGAACAGCAACGACAGCCCAGGGAAGCCTGACAGGGGGCCTTGATGTCGGCCCTGATCTAAGGAAGACTTTGGAGGGCAGGGACGCTCACAGCAAAGGGGCAGGCCAACTACGCGGGAGCATCGAATCCTTTTCACCGCCAGGGGGCACCCAAGCTCTGTGCATCCACCCAGAACTCCATTGCACCTTCCTGGGGGTGTGCGGTTCCTGGGCTGTCCCGTCGCAGCCAGGACGCAACCATCACACACACACACACACACACACACACACACCCGGGCCAGGTCTGCCTGTGTCGTTCCTAGCAACCAAGGCAAGGGAAAAATCAGTAAGCGATAGTGCCTGGTTATACATGTCTTCGAAGGGCCGTGCCTGTTGGTGTCTCTGAATATACAGGAGTGGGTTGTGAGTGGCAGAGAAAATTGAGCATGAGCACAGAGTGTCAGGGAGTTAGATGGAGAGGGGCTTCCTGGTACCCAGGGACAGGGGGAGAATGGATACATTACAATATCTTGTCAGGCATATTTTCCTCTGGGACATACTTGTTTGTGACCGTATCTCTAAACAAGTGAATGCGATGTGACATGAATGAAAGCAGATGCAGAATTTCTGAGTGTAAAACCACTATAAGCTTCCCGGCAGCCAAGGAGAGAGGGGAAATAAGAGTTAGAGTCTGCTCCGTCTCAGTGTGTCCACTGCAGTGCCTGCCTGCCCATGACAGTGAATCCAACTGTATGCAGAGGTGTCCGTGTGTTACAGGGAATCACACAGTTGCAAGTGGGAGTTACTTCTGAGCTCCTGGGACACCAGGGTGAGAGGAGAAATTCGCTGAGTTTGAGCCTAGTCAGGTGTGTTTTGCAGTGTGTGCTGAAGGCTGCCTCCGGGGACTCAACCAGGACAGCGCCTGGCAGCCAGGCGTGCGCGGCTGTCCTCTGCAGGGCTCCAGGGCCTGGCATAGCCAGCATGGGGCAGCAGCAGACGGTCCTGCGTGCCATCGGGGCTGACGAGGCGTCGGATGGCTAGCAAGTACTCCCGATGGGGAGCCAGCGGTGGGCAGGGGCAGGGGCCGGGCGCCCACACGTACTCGCGTGTCCGCAGTGGAGAGCGGTTCTTATAAATGAGCAGAATTCGCACCTCGTAGCGGGTCTCCTGGGCCTGGCGGTGGCTGCCCAGCACACGGGCCTGGAACACTGCAGGTGGGATAGGTTGCTGGAGACCCGTCCACGCGGGCCATTGCCAGAAGAGGAAAATGAGGGTCAGGCGGGCCCTCAGAGGGTCATCTGGGAGTGTCATCCCAGCAGTTGGAAGCTGAGGCAGGCAGATCACTGCCAGTTTGAGTCCGTTCTGGGCTACATAATGAGTTCAAGGTAGCCTGAAATACAAAGGGAGACCCTGTCCATGCCCCGCCCATGTCCTGGGAATGGGTTCTCACCAAAGTCGCTTCCGCAGTAGTGTAGCAGCCGGTGGGCGCGACCACGGGTGTCAGGGCAGGGTGGGCAGGGGTCTGTGGGGGACAGTGCAGTGAGGGGCACAGGCCTCGGCCCTGCTCCCCCCCTGGTGTGTGCACCTCACCTGGGGTCCGGGTGGGGGCATGGGCCACAGGGCGTTCAAGGAGCTGCGGGGGCTGAGGCTCCACCTCACGGGGCTGTGGCTGCCGCTGGGCCCAGCCCTGGACCTGCGCCTGCGCCTGGAAGGGGCCGTAGCTCTCGTGAGGAAGCCAGAACTCAAACTGAACTCCGGGGTTGGGCTCCCGCAGGAGGACCTGGAGGAGGGGCACCGGAGCTGCTGGAGAGCGGTCCGCGCACCCTACTGACCCAGCCTCCCCGCTCAGACCCTCTGTCCCCGTCTTCCGTCGCCCTCTAGAAGGCCCTGCACACACCTGCAGGAGAAGGTCCTGGGAGGTGGGCCCGGCCGCGTGCAGTGTCTCCTCAGGCCCCGCGGCGCGGGTGTAGACCACACGAGTGCCTGCAGCATCATAGGTGCCCGGTGGGCTCACTGCCCAATTACCATTGAGCACGTAGCGCCCATTGCCGCCCATCAGCGCTGCAAGGGAAGGGTCAGGTGGGATCCCCGGAACCAGCCCACTGCCCCACTGGACTCAGTCCCCCCCGACCCCCCGACTCAGTTTCTCCAGCTGTGTAGGGGGTGAGGGGTGTGGCCAGCAGGACGCCTCCTCCCTTCGACTTTATAGTACCCAGGTAGTTTCGGCTCCGCTGTACCACGCGGATGTGTCTGGCACCCACGGGGATCAGGGTCACGTTCCAGTACCCAGCGAAGGCACCTAGGGAGGAGGGGAGGAAGGTGTTAGGGTGCTGGCGGGGTACGTGTGAGTAATGACTTGAGGATTAAATAATGCTGCGGGAAGGGAACTAGCCGGTGTTCTGATACCCAGAAAACGCTCCGGGAATGCCTGGCATTACAAAGATCCCCAAGGTGCAACAAGCAGTGTTAAAACCCCATCCGTTTGGGGTAGGGCGGGACAATCAGAGAGCGACCAATCAGAATGAAGGACTGGAAGGGCTGGACCTCAGATTGCCCAATCTGACTTCGCTTCCGAGTCCACGGCTCCTTAAAGGGCCCACTTCATTTGTGCGTGTAGGGAGGATGGGGAGTGTGGTCACCAGCGTCACGAAACACGCGCTGCACGAAGAGACATGAGTCGTTGGCTCCGCCGCAGCGGCCACAGCGGTCCTCGAGGGCTCCAGAGCCTAGCACTCCATCACAGCCAGCATTCTGCAAGAGAGGTGGACACACTAGAAGTCACAGATTGGGGAGGGGTGTGGGCTGGCAAAAGGGCGGGGCCTGAAAGCAAGAGGCTGGGTAGGAGCTTGGGAGTGGGTGGAACCTGGGGGGGGTAGGTATAAAGGGGCGGAGCCTGGAAGCAAAGGGCCTCGGAGACAAGAGGTGGAGCCTAGGGTGGGTGGAGCTTGAGAGGGGCGGGGACTGGAGGCGGGCCTGAATAAAAGTTGAGCCCTGGAGGGAGGATCTCAGGTTGTGTCTGGGGGCGGAGCTTGTAGGTAGAGGTGTGGCAGGAAATAAAAGTCATAAAGACCTAGGGACAGCAGCGAGAGTTAAAGGGAGGCCCTGGAGGAGGGCGCTGGGGGTGGAGCCTATGGAGGGGGCGTGGCCTCTAGAAAGCTGAGGCCTCAGAGTAGATGGGCGGGGCCTGATGGCATAAGGGTGAGCCCTAAAGGGAGGAGCCTGGTAGAGTGGGGCTTTGGAGCGGGGTTTGGATGAGAGAGGTGGAGCCTGAAGTAAAAGTGATGAGAACCTAGGGGTAAGGGCAGGAGAGTTAAAAGCCGGTCCAGGAGCCTGGGTTGGGTTGGAGCCTAGAAAAAGAGGGTGGGTCCTGGAGGGAGGAGGCTGGGAACTGAGATTAGGAAGAACTGGAACCGGCAGGGAAGGGTGGCTGATCCTAGAGGGAGGGGCAGGGCCTGAAATAAAAGATGGGAAGAGGCCTGGGATTGGGGGCTGCAGGAGACTGGGCGGGACCTGGAGATGTGGGTGTGACTAGGGCGGGCCTGGCAAGTCCTCACCAGGCAGCGGCCAGCCACGCAAAGGCCCTGGGCTCCCGGGCTGCAAGGTGTGCCGTCCAGCACGCGGCCGAAGCTGTGGTAGAAGGTTTGCCCCTCGGCCAGGCAGTTGAGGTCACACTGGTTGGGTGCTAGACACAAGAAGAGGTCCAGCTGGGGACCTTGGTCAGATCTCAGCCCACCCCAACCTATATGGGGTAGCTACCCCTTTGGGCATTTAGCCAACGCCTAACATCGAAGCTGATAGTCACTATGAACATCCACACCTTGCATTCATTCTACACACTCACTAAGCACTCATTACTTCCCCCCACCCCAGTACTGGGGACTGAACTCAGGACCTTCACATTGAGCTACATCTCCAACTCTTCATTTTTGTTTTGAGACACTGTCACTACAGTGTCCAGGCTGAGCTCAAATTTGGAATCCTCCTGCCTCATCCTCCCAGAGTGCTGACTTTAAGCATCCACAATTTCCTAGATACTGTTGAGTGCCCCGGTTTGCAGCAACAGGCTGAACTCACTCGGCTCTGGTCCTTGTGCACGGCAGAGACCCAAAAAAAGTGTCCAGTGCAAGCCTGGTGTGGTGCTGCACGCCTGTAAATCCCAGCACTTGGGAGGCTGAGGCAGGAGGATCACCAGGAGTTCAAGGCCAGCCTGGAATACATTGTCAGTTCAAGGCCAGTCTAAACTACATGTCGAGACCTTTTCTTAAAAAAAGAAAAGAAAAGACAGAAAAACTATCCAGTAGGGAGTCACTTGGGTCTCAGTCTCCCTAGTGCCTTGTCATTGGATCACCGCCACAGGCAAACAGCCTTGAACCCTGCTCTGGTTCCTGGGTCCCTGCCCAGCCTGGCCCGCAGACCCTGCCTGGAACAGGGCCAAGTTGGTCCTGGGGGCCTCTGTGGGGATAGGGTTACCACAGGGAGAGAGGCAGCAAGCCAGAGAGATCACTCGGCTGAGAGAGGGGCTTTTTTCACTCCAGGCTCTTCTTACTGGTGTGTGGTGTATTTGCTGTGGTGAAGAGGCTGCCTGTCTCCCTAAAATCTGGAGGCGTGCTGCCCCGGGCACAGTTATATAACTCACTATTTTCAGCTCAATGCGGCAACATTTCCCATCACTGGCGTAAGTTTTGAGCACTGTGGTCCTCTAGACAGTAAATCCTCAGCCTGGGGTTTGACCCTGTGAAGACTCGTCCCTGCTTCCTTCTGCCAGTTTAATGTGGCACTTCGACAACTCCTACATATGCTCCAAAGCCCTGGCGTTAATGCTCTTATTCTGTAAAACCCACCAAGTCTTTCTTTCTCTTCTCTGTTGGAAATGGGTTGCTCATTCTGAATCACTGTAGGACCAGTACTCACCCCCATGGAAGGGTACCCATTGGTAGGTTTCCTGGGTGCCCAGGACAGGGCGGCCATTGTAGAGGGCACACTGAAGGTCTCGGAAAGGCACAGCCCCTGGTGAGCAGTCCTGAGGGCAGAGATAGATGGGTGAACCTCCCAGAAGCCCAGCGAACCTGTGCCAGTGTGGCGGGAATGTGTGGTGTCAAGGGCAGGACAGCGAGGGCTTCAGGGTGACTCAAGGAATTGGGCAAAGCTTACAGGGAGCTGGCAGAGGCGGTACTCGTGGCTATCCCCTGGGCACGGTTGTTCCCCCGGAAACCTGGCAGGAACGGGAGAGCCTGAGTGGGATCGGAACCCCCAGGGACCCCCTCCTAGCGCTGCCCTGTCCACCCTCCGCCCACAGCCCCACCCGCATTCCAGCTGGATCCCTGGGATTAAAGGGCACAGCGTGTGTGGGTGACTGGGGGCGTGGTCAGGACCGGGCGTGGCCGGCGGGGGCGGGGTGTAACTCTGGCCCTGCCCACGCAGCCCCCCCGCTCCGCCCCCCTTACCGGATGCAGCGTCGGCTGCGCACTGAGACACCCCGCCCGCAAGAGCTGGAGCAACGGGTCCAAGATCCCCACGGCGTCCACTCCCCGAGACCCTACTTGGGGACACAGAGGCGGTCGGCCTGGAGGGGAGCCGGTGACCTCGCACCTCCGGCTGCGTCCCATTCCCTCCTGCCCCCTTACCTGAGCGGGGACCCCCAAGCCGCAGCTCAGGAGGGTCCACAGCAAGAGCAGATTCTGCAGGGGGCGGGGTCTGGGGGAGCAGAGGAGGCCCACGCAGCTGGTATCCGCAGGACAGGGGCTGAACCCCATTTCTTCCCTAGCGGGCTATGTGATTTTTGTCGAGTAACTAAACTCTCTGAGGCCTTCTGGTCTCTGGAAAAAAAAAAAATGAGGTAATACTAGAACTCCTCTTACTGGGAAGTTTTCAGGGTTGGTTGGATCAGGTAGGGCCCAGAGCGAGGGGACACAAAACATCTGAGCCAGGCCTGGTGATGCAGGTCTGTAATCCCCAGCACTCGAGACTGAGGCAGGAGGATGGTGAGTTTGAGTCCAGCCTGGGCAACTTAGTGAGTTAAGGAAACCCTGTCTCAAAAATCAATCAGTCAATCAATCAGTCAATAAAAGGGCTGAGGATGTAGCTCAGTGTGAAGGCCCTGGGTTCCATCCCCAGTACCAGGACACGCGTGGACACACGCACGCACCCGCGTTCACGGGTGCACTTCATCTCTTATTGCTATTGGTTGTGCACTAGCCTGTGGTGCACACAGTAGGAGCTTAACCAGTTTGGTGATTCAGGGATCATTTAGTGCTCCCAGGGTCGAGGTCTCTCACCGCTTTCCAGGTCGTCATCGTCACTGCTTTTACTTTCCTGCATGGCCAGAGGCCGGCCACTCCACTTCCCCAGGCCTCAGGTTCCCCATCTGTGCAGCTGGGATCAGCTGGGATCAGTCTGTGATTCTAGGAGACCCTGCGGTGGGTGTGGCCATGAGGGTTGGGTCAGGAGCTGGATACCTGATGGGGATCCCTGCAGCTGCACTTCAGCCTCCAGGGTCCTCCCGGTCCCCTTACCAACCCGGCAACAGGAAACCCACAATCACAATTGGGGTGCAGCAGGCAGGGGTGACCTGGCTTGAGTCCAGCTGGCACCTCGTGGCCTCATCTGTGGGGGTGTGGTGTAGAGTCAGGGGGTCTGCAGAAGAGAGGGAGGCTGATGGGGGTGGAAACAGCTGGGGGCCTCAGTTTCCCCATCTGTCACGAGAGGGACATGTCATTTTCCACCTACACTGTCCTTGTGGTCATGGCCTGTGACCAGGAGGCCAGTAGCCTGATGGGCAGGGAGAACAGACTTAATCCTCTCTGGGACCCTTGCCAGGCCTGGACACAAATCAGGAGCAGGCTGAGGCCCACCTGGACCCACAGCCCCTCTGAGCCTCAGTTTCCCCAGTTGTCGGCCCATCTGACTCTGACATTCTGATCTCTGTGCCCAAGTGACTTCGGAGGGTGGGAATGTGGGGACTTCAGGGTAAACCCAAGGAGTGGGCCTGGAATTTCCCTCTGTGACCTCAGCTGTGTGTCTGATGGCATCTCCACCCCTCTCTGAGCCCTAGGAAGCAGGAAGACAACAGATCCCTGAACGGAAAGCTAAGTTCTTAGGGGGGGAGGGAAGCCCTTCAGACAGAGAAGAGACCCCCAGAAGAGACTCCAAACTCTAGGGTGAGGGTCTTGGTGATAGAAAATAGGGGGCTACAAATCACCCCTTCCACTGCTTTAAATGCCCCTCCTCCCCAAGCTGGTTGTGGTGGCACATGCCTGTCAGCTCAGCACTCTAGGAGGCTGAGGCAGGAGGATCCATGTTCCACCTCAGCCTGGCAATTTAGTGACTCAGGGAGACCCTCTCTCAAAATTTTTAAATTAAGGGCAGGGGATATAGCTCAATGAGAAGGCCTCGGGTTCAATTCTCGGCACTGCAAAAACAAAGTATACTCCTCAAAGGAACAAGGCACCCCTTTCCCTGTACTGGCTGCATCCCATGATTAGCATAGCTATCTCACTGGCAAGTCAACCCTCAGGCCTGTTTCCCCCGGGGAAAGTGGGAGCCCTGAGCTCTCTCCTGCCCTGGGAGTGGGTGTCCTTATCACCCACAGGGCCAGGTGGGCGGATAGGAAGAGGGACTTACCGACTGCACGGCGGGCAGGCTCCTGGCGCCCCAGGAGAGCGGAAGCGGCGTCCCGGGCGTGCAGGGGAAAGCAGAGAGCCCGGTGCGCCCTCGCGCGGTGTCCCTGTCTGTGGGTGCTGGTGACCTTGGGACTGGGCGCCCGCATCCGCCACCCCGGGCTGCTATTCCGGGTGCGGCGCTCAGGGCCAAGGAATGTGCACGACTAGCCGAGGTCGCCACGCCCCGGGTCGGTGCGTCCCGGGAGGACGCCGGGAGGGCGCCCCTCCTGGGGTCTTCGTTCCCGATCCTCCCACTTT